AACCAAACCAAACCAAACCAAACCAAACCAAACCAAACCAAACCAAAACAAAACAAAACAAAACAAAACACAGACAGACAGACATAAACACACACACACACCAGTACATTTTGTTGGGTCTATCTTCAAAATACATTCCCAGTTCAACCACTTCTTACCATGTCCCTGGCCACCCTTGTGTAAAACACCACCATTATTTACTTTCTTTGTGTGTTCAATTAGGCATATGGAGGCCAGAGGCCAACACTACATATGGTTACTTAGATACCGTATCTAATTTATTTATTTATTTACACATGGTCTCCCACTGTCTTGGAATTCATCAAGCAGCATAGACTAATTGACTAAAGTGCCAGGGATCCACTTATCTTTGCCTCCCCAGTACCGGGGTTAGAAGTGTGTGCCACCACACTTGGGGGTTCTGATTCGGGTTCTGGGTGGCAAGCAATCTGCCAACTGAGCTGTCTCCTGTGCCCTCATTGCCATTTTTTACTGACTTACCATGATCATGTCTCTCAATTTTTCTCCCGAATTGTGTATCTCACAAGATCATTCTTCCACAATTCTTCAGTTGCTTCTCATCTCATTTGGAGTAAGAGCTGTGTCCTTACCCTGGTGTTGTAGGGTACAAGGGACCTGGCACTATCTCTCTGTCCCTTGGGTGTCCGACTGCTTCACACACCTGCCTTTGTTCTGGCTACACTGTATGCTTGTTCCTCAAATAGCTCAGCTTGTTCCTTATTGTGTACATTTGGTTTTGGCTGTTTCTCTCTCTAGAAACAGAGAGTTACACTGCTTTCTTCTCTGTGAGGACTTTTTGGAACTTTATCTAAAATGCTAGTCACCTGAAAGCAGAAGGTTGGCTAAGAGTTGGGAGAAGGATTCTAAAGACAGGGAAATGGGGACAAGACAGGGTAATGGGATACAGAGTATGACAAAACATGGGAGGTTTTCTTCCACATACAGAATTGAGGTTTGAGTATGCACATACACATATGTGCATATATGGCATGAAGACAGAAGAGAGGAGGAGGGGTCTATAGAGGAGCATTGTAGAGGGAAGTGGGGAGATATGCACAAGGTACAGTGATATACACACAAATATATGCATACACAAGGAAACTTCATAGTAACCCATTATTTTCTACACCAACTAAGACAATAATAAATAAATGTACAGTCCCATGGGCTCTGACTTCCTATTCTATCTTCCTGCTTTGCCTGTTTTCCCTCATTACTTTCTATGGTAAACTTTTTTTCTTACCATCTTTGTCAACTACTTTCTATTTATTAGAATGAAAATTCTGTGCAACCAGAGACTTTTGTTTGTTTGCTCTTGTATTCTTCTAGACATAGGTGAATGCTTGGCACATATTGATACTCAGTAGATGTCTGCTGATTGGATGAGAATACCACCACCACCATTTTCATCACCACCACCATCACCACCACCACCACCACCATCACCACCATCACCACCACTACCACCATCACCATCCCCATCACCACCACCAACACCATCATCATCATCATCAACAATAGTAGACAGCTGAATCAGCAGGAGATGATTCTTTCTGCTCCCATATTTATCCACCCCAGACAGTGAGCTTCTTTGAGTTTCTTTGAGCTCCCTCCACTTCAGGGCTTCTCACTTGCTCTCCTTTTGCCCCAAACTCTCTTTTATTCATCTTGACAAACTCATTCTACTCTTCAAGTCTTGACCTTTCTCAGACTCCTCTATGTGGTTTCCCAACTTCTCTGACCCACACTCCTTGCACAGTACTTCGCTGACCACTTTAATGGATTGTTAAACATTCTACTGCCACACTGTGAGCCTTTTCCCCCTTGCTTTAACCCAGATTGTTAATCATGGAGGTGCTCAACTGGTATTTGCTGAAAGAACTGAGCAAAGAGTGCAAGTCTGTAAAGATGTCAGGGCTGTGAAATAGGGGAGATTTCTCATTTGGTAAAGTGCTTGGATTTCAAGTAGGAAGACTGGTCTCTGGAACCTGTCTTTAAAATCCCAGGCATAGCAGCATGCACTTTAGTTCTAATACTGGGGAAGTGAAGACATGTAGGTTTCTGATGCTCACCAGCCAGGCAGCCTAGCCTATTTAATGAACTCCAGGCCAATGGCAGACCTTGTCTCTAAAGGGAGGAAGCCTATGGAATGACACCCAAGTGGCCCTCTGTCCTCCTTGTATACACACATGTACCTGCATACACATAGATATTCCCAGAGATGTTACCTGACAAGAAAAGGCTTCAGATCTGTGAGTTAGTGTAGAAGCAAGAAAACCTGATAAACGGGTAAGCATGCATATTAGTCAGCACCAGCCCTCGGCATCTCACTTACATTGCTGGTTATGTTAAACCGTATCATCTGGTTGGCCATGCTCCTGATGTGGGGTGTCGAAATGAGAGTGGCCACTTGCAGCTGCAATGGGAAGAGATCAGGGAGTCATCTGCAGCAGTGCCCAGAGTTTGCATTTCTCACAGTTCTTGCTGCAAACAAGGTCCTTAACTATTGGTGAAATCATGGGAGTTTTGAGGTCATGAGTATTTATCGCCTTAAGGATTTCTTTGATAATGATATCACAGACAACAGTTACAGACTGATAGTCTGCTCAGAGCTAGTGAGTATCACAAATAATTCTCTAGCCCCAACATCTTGGAACTGAAGGCCGGGATGTGGTGTTTTAAAAGCAGGGATAAAGTAGTAGGTGGAAGAATAGGGCCAACCTCAGTTAATGGGACAATGTGGTATCTGACGAGTTCCAGAAGTTTCCGATAGCCCTGCAAAGGAACCAATACACTCTGTCAGTCATGGAAGGAAACTCTACATGCTCCTTTCTTGATAGTGCTTCACAAGAATGACTTTGGATGTTAATCATAAAAGACAATGACCCAACCTCTTTGTAGGGAAATTGAAGATAAGAAAAATTCCATGCACAAAGAGGTGACTGTCATCAAATCTCTTGGCTGTTCCAAAAACATAGCATGCACATTTCATGTAATCCCCCAACATCCCTGTGAATACAGTCTATCATTAGCTCATTTTACATATGATGACACTGAGTATGGAAGCACACCTAAGTCACCCAGCTTCCTCAGCATCTGAACCTAAGCTCTGAGCCACTCTGCTCACCTGTGCACATCTCAGGTTACGTTTTGGAGTTTTCATAACATCCGTTTATTTATGAGTCTCACTTGCCCCGGAAGTCCACATTTGCTTGTCAGGCCACATACTGATGTTTTAGGAGTGTTCAGCTGTGGGGACCCTGATCACCTAAGTCCTTCAAAAGAAGTCACTCATTTCCAGAGACATTTCCGTACCAAACCATAATTGCACAACCCTGCCACTACTGCAACTAGACTCCTGGAGCTCTCAGGGAGAGCTGTAGGCAGGCGTCCTGGCGGGAGCCTGTAGCATGGAGGATGACATGGCCACATGGCCACATGGCAGAAGGTGGGGGCGGTGGTGTTTTCCACTGCGTTGACTCAGCTAGGCATATGAGGCTTAGGTTTGTAGCATCCTTGGACAGACAAAGGACCACAGACCGAGAGCGTAATAAGCAGGAGGTTTTCCTTTCAGCAGACATATTCCTACACTGTCAAGTCTCAGGCCGATTAAAATCTATGCTGTACCTGATTTCCCTCTCACTCTGACTTCTCTTGGCACTTGACCTTGGTCACCATGCCAGGGTATTACCTGTAAGTACCACATATCTCAGTTTGTCTGGTCCAGTTGTAGCTTACACCTGTTGTCTGGCTGTTCTAGTCATTCTCAAAAGTATCTTGGTAAGGCTGCCATAGCTACAAGCTGATAGTGTGCTGTGCCGGGCTGCGTTGCAGTAAGAATGCTGAGCTTTCTGCCAGTCACCAGCTCTAGAAGCAATGCTCTTTGCGGCCCTGGGTGGGTCACCATGTGAACAAGTCAGCCTCTGGGTCTCGGTGCCTCCATGTTTCCCAGATATAGGGACTTACAAGAGAAAAGGTAATTCCTGAATGACAGGATGATGTATGTCAATGTTGAGCTGTTATTATTGTTCTGTGTTTGGTTAGGACAGAATGAGGTACACAGCAGTCACTTTCCAAAAGCATTTGTGCCAACAAATTAAAAATAAAGGAGGTGTGTTACAAAGAGCACTTAGCTTGAGTGTAGAAGTCTGGGTAGCAATACATTTTAGCTTCTATGTGACCTTGAATGAGTCACTTAACTGCTAAGGCTCAGTTTTCCTCAAAAAATAAATAAATAAATAAAAATAAAAGGGTATTAGCATGAACATCTTCTATAGCTTTTCTTCTTCTGGAAAGAATCTCTCCATGGGAGAATTCACTTCTAAAGTCTAGTTAGTGTTGGGTCCATGACATAAGGAAGAGAGAATGAAAGGAACAGAGGAATCAGTCTCTGGTTATTGTGTGTTAGGGTCTATCTGGCTAGCATCATGGGTGCCACCAAGCATGCGGAGAGACTGATTCTGTGAGATGGCCATGAGCTTTCTAAACTCCATTCTCCTTTCTCACTTACTTTCTTGTCATTAGTGTCTTTGTGAATCTAGAATCACTGGGGAGCTGGGTCTTGGAGCATGCCTGTAGAGGATTGTCTTGATTGGTTAATTAATGTGGGAAGCCCCGAGTTAACAGTGGGCGGGACCACTCCCTGGGATCAGGGTCCTGGACTGAACAGAATGGAGAAAGGGAGCTGGGCACACACATGTATTCGTCTATTGCTCTCTTCCTCTGATCACGGATGTTACATGGTCATCTTCTTTAAACTTCTCCTGCCTCAATTTCTCTGCCATAATAAACTGAGATTTAAATCAACTCTTTCTCCCTTTAGCTGATTCTGTCAGAGCATTTTATCATAGCAATGGGTAAAGAAACTTAAACATGTCCTACTGTTTATGTAAAATATATTTCAAGTCCTTTGGTGCCGAAAGAGTGTTCTCTACCAACATGGTAACATGACCTTGAACTTTGTGAATTCAGTTCTTTTTGTTTCAGTTTCCTTCGAAAGGAATCTTAGACCTTGTAAGGCATACTTTCTGCTCCTGTCACTTTTATTTTTGTCTAGTTCAGTGAAGGAATACATGGAAGCTTGTCATCAACAGCCACAGGATGGTTTCTGGACTAAAACTGGGGTTCAGAGAGAAAAGACTTTATTAAGGAAACACACATTCCACATTCAGGGCTTGGATGGGGACTTTCTGCCTTCTCTGAGGCTCTTTCTTGGAGATAAAGTTAAATGATGGTAGTATCACTGTGAAGAAAGGAGAACTCCCTATGTTTGAGATATTTTAGCCCCTGAAGACTGGAAAATGGCCATTCTACTGAATGGCCATTAGAAATGTCATTGGCAAACCAATGGTTCACTAGAAATGTCATTGGCAAACCAATTTTTGCCTCAGAAAAAAGAACCCAGGCTTTATATTCTTTGTAGGCAGAAAGATTTGAATCTCTGGAGAAAAAGAGAATCAAGGGCCGGGAGCAGTGTTGGTGCTGGCCAGTTGGTGCTGTTCTAGGTATACACAGTCCCACAGGAGTAATGAGAGGCTGTCGGTCTCACTGCATAGTGTGAGGTGGATGAGATCCACATACTCGCTTGGGAGCCAGGAGCCTGCTCCTGACTGCTCTCCAGGGCTGACAGAGCTTTCTGAACAAAGGCAGAGAGCAGAGCAGTTAATTTTTTCTATAATTTGGCTTATTTTAGCTTTAGTGCAATCCCTTAGGTAGCCGAAAACTCTTTTATTGTCATAGCTCTAAAAGTAACATTATTAGGGAGGCCATATAATTTTAGGATTTTAATAATTTCCCAGGAGAGCAACATTGCTTTTTAAAGATCACCTTTAAGTGAGTGTGAGTTCTAAAGGGAGGTAAAACTGCTTTTCAGCAACAGCAAGTTTTCAGAACATTCAAGCATCGTTTGTACTTTTTAAAAACATCCTTCCTGGGGTTGGGGATTCAGCTCAGTGGTGGAGCACTTGCCTAACAAGTGCAAGGCCCTGGGTTTGGTCCTCAGTCCTGGGGAAAAAATAATAATATCCTTCCGAAGATCCCAGGGGGTCTGACCTATTCCCTGGAAACCCTTAGAAAAATCTCATATGCTGAAAATTTGTTGGCTGAGACATACCAACCATCTAATTTTTAGCAAAAGATTTATGTTTGTATTTTATGTGCATGAGTGTTTTGCCTGCATGTGTGTATGTATGTCTGAATGTACATCTTATGTGTGCAGTACTCTCAGACACCAGAGGAGGGCATCAGATTCCCTGGAACCGGAGATACAAATCATTGTTAGTCTCCATATGGGTATTGGGAAGTGAACTTGTGTCCTCTACAAGAGGTGTGTGTGTGTGTGTGTGTGTGTGTGTGTGTGTGTGTGTCTGTGGTTTTCCCCTTTAGCACTTTTAGAATGGAAGATGTCCTTGCTGGTATCTGAAGGTATTCTAGCAAGGACTATATCCATGAATCTAGGAGCCAAAAAGGCAACATGTTTCAGAGTCAGCACAGCAGGGTGGCTGAGTCTGCCTGTATTAGAGTAGGTGTGCACCTGCACGTCTGTGGCTTAGTGTCACTTTAGTGCCCCTAGCCACTATGTTCAGGATCAGGCCCTAGGACTTGCTTGACAAGCCTCACAGGTGATTCCTGACTACACTGGAGTCCTTGAGTCACTGCTTTTAGGAATTGGGGAGTGTCCACCTCCCACATTCTGTGTCACCAATCAATCATCAATCAGTCAATCATCTACACATCTATCTCTTATCTATATATCATCTATTTATTGTCTATTATGTATCTATCTATCATCTATCTATCAATTTATCAATGGTCTATCATCTATCTATCTATCTATCTATCTATCTATCTATCTATCTATCTATC